ATTGACAGGCTGGTGGCCTTAAATTTCAGTTTGAACCTGCCACTTTATATGTTCTGTCTCTTCCAATAAGTGGATTTTCTTAGCCTTGTTGCATTAATTTGAAATTATTTTACATAATTTTGCTTTATAACTCCCCATTTAAGCAGTTGCCCAGGGCCTGACGTTTCCAAGTTGGAAGCAGAGATAGGGTGGAGAGCTTTTAGTGAGATGACATCAGTGTTTGATGAAAATTCAGAAGCAGTTGCTCTGATATAAGAGAAGTAGGGTGATTGATTCATGCTCATTTTTTTCTGGATGCAAGGAAGGTGCACGCTAATGCATGCTAAATTATTAACACATTCCCACCTTCCTTTGCTGCATTGCCTTGTGTCTTACCTCACTGCCTGCAAACTTAGAGCTTGTCTCTGCTGGTGTGGTTTTCCTACCTCCACTGCTGTGAGATGGCTCAGGATATCTTACTTTCCACCTTAAGTGCCAAATTATGGCCCAGTGTGCATGCTCACTTCTCAGTGAAGAAACATGTTAGACTATTTGTGTTTTGTAAGCTATGCATGGTGCCATGCCCTAGGATGAATGGCAACGAACGTCACGCTTGGTAATCTGCTAAAATAAACTCTAGACATGATTTTCCCCAGACATTTACAGTTCCCATGCACCTCTAATGCTGTTCACTTCTGCTGTATCTAAAAAGAGCTTTACTCTCCGCATTTTAACTGGCAGATTCTGATTAAAAAGCATGGTGAAGAGGAAGCATTTTTAAGGGGGGAAATATCAGAATGTTTGGGATGCGTCTGCAACAATGTGATAACTCGCTCTGTAAATTGTGAGAGAATCTCTTCAGATTCCTTCATTTGGCAGAAGTGAAACTGCCTTAAATTATTTATAATCTATTATAGCAGGGAAGGACAAAGACAAGATTCTGATGGAAGCTAGACTCCTTCATACATGTCAGTGCTGTGTAAATGCCCCTCACCAGCACTGCTTTTCCACAGCATTCCAATACTGATTGACAGTCGTGGTCCACATTGTACTGGACATGGAACATTAAGATGCTGAGCTGGAATCTATCTCATTCATAACCTTTCCACACCCTCTTGCTGGATTATAATCCAGCCATTTCAGCAGCATCTTTTAACCCACCCTTCCCTCTTTTATGTGGGACAAAGTGGCACTGCAAGTTAACCGCAGAGTCCTCTGTGCTGCAAGGTCGGAAGACCAGCAGTCATAAGATCGAATTCACGCGACGGAATGAGCTCCTGTCACTTGTCCCAGCTCCTGCTCGTCTAGCAGTTTGAAAGCATGTAAAAATGCGAGGAGATAATAGGTACCACCTTGGTGGGAAGGTAACGGCATTCCATGTCTAGTCACACTGGCCACGGAAACTGTCATTGGACAAACACTGGCTCTATGGCTTGGAAATGGGGATGAGCACCATGCCCTAGAGTCGGACATGACTGGACTAAATGTCAAGGGGAACTTTACCTTTAATCTTCCCTCTTTTATTAGCATGCTAATGTCTCAATGTGTGGGCCAGTAGCAGAGTATAAAATGGAAACGAAGGTGCATCTTAAATCCCATTGATGTCCTGACCTTGTTTCCCTTGCACATTAACACATATTGAGAGATTTATTTTGAATTGCTGTACTTCTGAGTATTTGCAACCAGATTGACTGAGAAAAACTATGAAGGCAATGCCAGAGAGAGCAACAGAGCCTGAAATCAACAATCATTCAGCCCCCGTGCATACCAGTCCTCCCAAACCTTCAGCACAGGAAACTCCTTTCTTCCCTTCTGAGCAGCAGACGCAAATTCTGTTGCTCATACTATGCAATGATCAGTCCAGGACCCTTCTAGACAGGGCAAAGATTACTCCTTCTTTTCGCTTGTTTTGTCATGAAGGAGCATGGGCTTTACGAGCTTTTTCACCCATACTTCTCGTTGAAAAAAAGATATTCTTTAGAATATCCCTTTAAAATCATATAAATCCTTTAGAAATATTGTAGAAATCCTGGAGCTTCTTTTCTTGAGCTGTTTTTTGCTTGTTTGCCTGGTAATTAACTTAAGCATCCCATAGTGAAAAATTCTGCCCTTCCCAACAAATAAACCATGCTGATAGGAAGACTGAAAGGCATGGAAAATCACAAACAAGAGCACTGAGGCAAGCCTTACATTATGGGGATGGCAGGAGAAACAGGGCAACCTTGTTCCTTTACCTTTATATCCTGTCACCAATCTAGAGGTGTTGCTACAACATCAAGGTGCCACAGGAGAAAAATGGGGTCATCTGTTGAGTGTCAGTTATGACCTTACGGAGCTGAGGTTCTGTGCTCGGTCATAAGATTGACATTTGGCTCAGTCATAGTCTTATGGAATATTTTTTTTCCGCCCCCATCCCTAGATCCTCTGTTTGGATAACTGACCCTTGGGAACTGGGCTTGCCTGCAGCTTTTCTTTAAACTTGCTTGGTTTTGTGCTGGAATGGAAATAGAGGGGCAGATTTTCATTGCCATTCATCCTGTGGCTGGCTAGAAGAGACTCATCTCTGATATATTGTCAAGTAACCTTTTCTGTTTCTGCGCCGCTAGAATAGTAAACAGCAGCTTTCAAAAAGGGCAAGAGGTTTTCTTGATAGCGCTTTGCTGAATGAACTAAAGTGCTTATCGGCACATTCACAAGCCACGTTCTTTCTAGCCAAAGATGGTCCTGACAGGTTCTTTTACTTCCACAAAAGAGACAGCTGGGGACTGATGTCTCAGGGATACGTCACAAAGTGTGTTCCAGTGGGCACTCACTCTACTTCTAGTCATTGCTCATGCATGCATTTGAAGATGGCTTAGGTGGGCAGAGGTGGTTGTAGAAGCAATCTTGCCCACTTCTCACTGGAGTGGATAACAGATGTGATTTCTGCATGCTACTGATTCCTTTCTGCACTTCTGCATGAATTTCTCCTAGTCTGATCCCTACACCCAGTGCCTGTGTTTCTGTGCATTTCCACTCCACTGCACCCTTTTTGGATCCAATTTTGTATAGCAGCTTCTTTCCCATTCCTTTCCTCTTGTCAACCTGGTGCATGTAAAGTTAATGAATGTTTGCCAGGCATGGGCCTGTAGCATTGCTCCTAAAGCTTGCCTTTCTTTGAGACCAGTTTGATTGGTGAGTGGGTGGGACATTGGTTGATCTCCCAGATTAAGATCCAACATACGAACAATCTCTTCCTGTACTGGCTCAATACCATGTTCATTATGGGGGAAGAAGAGTCCTGCCTCTTGCCGATCAGAACCAGGCTTCGTTGGACAACCACCCCATCATGTTGACTCATTGCCATGTCCATCAAGTACTTGGGTATCCTCATAACTGTGTTAGAGCACTGATTTTGCTTTAATTTCTGTCTTGTTTGGGGAGCACTTCCCTATCAGTTAGGTAGGAAAGTTCTTGCTGGTAACCACACATGTAACTATTGATTTGTGATTGAATAAATGATTAAAAGAAACAAACTGCAAGACTATAGATGTAGGTATTTGAAAACATGCGCATTATCATTCCCCCCCCCCAAGCTGGTAAGAAGCTAATGAACTCTGCTTTGTCACCAAGACAGTGTGCAGTATGCACATACTGTTGACAGCATTGTCTAATTTATTCCCAAACCCTTGTTCTTTTGTACATGCGAGTGTGGGGGCTTCTGTGTTCAGCCTGTTTCTGAAAGCCTACCAGTGTAGGAATGAATCATCAAAGAGAGCTCAGGCAAAATTTGATTAGGAGAAGTGTCAGCCTGCCATACTGAGCAGAGTCTTGTTAGCCCATCTGTCAGCAGCTGCCCCTTTTCTAATAAGTTTTTGTGGTGCTGGTGATGGCACAGGAGAAAGCGCCCAGCACAAGGAGCTCCCACTGGGCTCTTGTCCCTGAGCATGTCTCTTCCATCTTGCTTACATATACTCTGCTCTGTTGAGTCCCAATAGTGCCCATCCTCTTCTTTGCAGCATTTCCCTAGTTTGTCTGCCAACCCTGACTATGTGGATTGGAGAAACTGTGGCATTAGGTAGGAGACAACTCCCTGCAAATATACACTGACATCTCCATTCTAGAGAAGCAAATTTCCCAGAAGAGATATGTTGCAGCCTTTCCCTCTTTTTTAAATAAAACCTGAGCACAGAGTACAGTAGAGAATGAGAGATACAGTGCTCAGATAGGTTACTCTGTTACTCTTTAAACTGGCCCATAATACTAGTCTCATTCCTCAGTGTTATTTCCCTAACCGAAGTGTGTGCGCAGCAGCCAACAGCCCAGGAGTCTTAGTGAATCTGAGGACTTGCCTGCAGATAAGCTGGGCGAGAAGTCTGAAATAAAAAGATGCTTCCTGGTGAAATAAGGAATGATCTGTCTCCTGGAGTGGATTCCCAAAGGTGGGAACTATCCTGTCCCCCAAGTGCTTTGCTGTCAACTTGAATCTGATCTCCTGTCCATTAGGATGAACTCCTACCTAGTAAAGTTATCTGATCAGGCTCTGAGGTGGTGCAGGCTCACTGCAGCATCTTCCCATAGGAATGCTGGTTTATCTAGTGGTTGTGCATGCAGTGATTTAAAAAGGAAAGCCTGTAAATGCTTCTACAAGATAGGTTTGGCCTGCAAGTTCTCTTGTTTTGAAACAAAGTCATTGAGCAGGCAATTCCATCTTGCAAAGATTCAGTGCACTAAATGGATGGGGAGTGGACATATGTTCTGATTAATGAGATGCTATCGAAACAGAAATAGCTTTTAGTATTAATGATGGTACTTAGTTGGACTCTTGGTAAAATACTCAAGAGGTAGAGCCATATTCATGAAAGTTGCCAGAACAGTTATTAGCTTGCACAGAATATTGTTACTGTTATTGTTGTTGCAGCTGCTTCTTTATTTGTTACCTCTTATGACAAATGTTGATCCTCCCCCACCCTTAGGTTTTAAGCAAATAAATACCTATTGTCTAGGCTGTGACCCTACTAGTTGTCTGTTCCTTGTTTCAGTGCGACGAGTGTCACCTCGGTTTTCAATCCCTCCAAGCAACCATGAGGTGATGCCTGGAGGGAGTGTTAACCTCACATGCGTAGCAGTGGGATCCCCCATGCCCTATGTGAAGTGGATTGCTGGAGATGTGGAGCTCACAAAAGAAGATGACATGCCAATGGGCAGGAATGTTCTAGAACTGACCAATATCACACAGTCTGCCAACTATACCTGTGAAGCTATGTCTTCACTAGGTGTAATCCATGCAACAGCACAGATCACTGTCAAAGGTAAGAAGCATCATGTGGTATCTTGTACCTTTCTGTAGTAGCAGGTGGTAGCAGGGGATGCATCTGTAACTAAAACTTGATTGTGGTGCAGGCATATAGAGACACATCTGTGAGCTCTCAGAAGCCCTTTACTATATTGCACTTGCATTGTTAGGTGGAAAAACTAGCTAACCAATGCTGCAGAACTGATACACACTTTCCCTTGACCTGGTATCATACACAGTTCTGTCCTTTGCTCATTTTACCAGCATTTATCTCTCATTCTCTGCTCACTGGAGTACTTTCAAAATACAGACATTTTACTTTGCAGAAGTAGAAGTCCAAAATTCGCAGAAGCAGAAGTCCAAAATTCAGAATAACAGAATTTATTTGAAAACAAAATCCCAATATAATATTCTCTGTAATTTGTTCTATAATACATGTTTCCACTTTGGCTGGATGGTCTAAAGAGACACCCAGGACTGTGCATCACGGTCAGCTCATTTGATGGGAGTCCCCTCTTTCCTGTTCTATCCCTTTGCCAAATACCGTCCTGCCTAATATGGTTCAATATTTACATTAATTGAGCTCTAGAGAATTATCAGTTTAAAGGCCAAGAAGTCTCTCAGTTGGGGACAGAGAGAGTACTTTCTGTCATGGTTGTGTTTACTGGCTCCCAGCTGGAACCCAGTTGAATATTCAAGACAAGCAAGAATCCCAGTGTAATCAAAGACAGTTATGGACACATGCTTTCTTAACTCCATATGTGACAGCTGTGCTAGAGTGGCTCAGGGTTTTTTTTTCTTAATAGCTTAGAATTCTTTGATAAGAATCATCAGCCAAATGCACTTGCCACAAGTTTCTGCACATGTAGTCTTGTTGCTTTTCTAGCACCAGTGCAACTGGAGCTATTTTTGCCCTTGATGTTCCCCCAAAACTGGCCCTGAACAAGGTTTTCTGAAGTCTATCCCAGCTGAAGAACTCTTTTCCCCTTGGAAAATCTGACAGATCCTTGTTTAAATTACCTTTATTTAGCCAGCTGCAAGCAAGTGCTTTGAGCACATCTAATAACATGATTGCTATGTTTACCCTTCCATTAAGAAGCACTTCAAGCAATATATGGTAATGTGTAATATAAAAAATGTACCTTCCTAAGTATGAACTGATTTCTGCCTTTAAAAGAGGATATTTGTAAGCGTTTGAACCTCCTTTATAGCTCTACATATTACAATATTTGCACTAATCAAATTACTAGCAGCATGCTTTTTTTCCCCAGCCTTGCCAAAGCCACCAGTAGACACATTAGTAACTGAGACAACAGCCACCAGTGTGACTCTTACTTGGGATTCAGGAAATGCTGATCCAATCTCCTACTATGTCATTCAGTATAAGTCAAAATCACAAGAGGGCACATTCCAAGAAGTGGATGGTGTAGCAACCACTCGGTACAGCATTGGTGGTCTGAGCCCCTTCTCAGAATACGAATTTCGCATTATTGCTGTAAACAACATTGGCAGAAGTCCCCCTAGTGAGTTGGTTGAAGCAAGAACTGGAGAACAAGCCCCTTCCAGTGCACCCCTCAAAGTGCAGGCTCGGATGCTGAGTGCCAGCACCATGCTGGTCCAATGGGAGCAGCCTGAAGAACCCAATGGACTGATCCGGGGCTACCGAGTGTACTACACTACTGACTCTCACCTACCACTCAACATGTGGCAGAAGCACAACACTGATGACAGCCACCTCACTACTGTGGGCAGCTTGATAACCGGGACCACTTACAGTATCCGTGTCTTGGCTTTCACTTCAGTTGGTGACGGCCCCCCTTCTGAAATCATCCAGGTCAAGACCCAGCAGGGTGGTATGTATGTCTGTCCTGAACATTTTCCTCTCCACACTGTGCTCTAAGTATCGATAGTTTTGAATCCACAGCCACAGTAGGGAGTGATTCAAAGACCTGTTAACTTTGTGCATTTTATTTGGAATTAATGGACAACGTCCTAGTTTTTCAAATAATAGTTCTTATGTCAGCACTTTGAAGTTGGCTGTGGTATATGTAGAGGCAGGGTCTCAGCATAATTAACAAATAACGTAAGCATAAATCACTAGCTGAGAAAGAACATAGCTGTCTTTGCTTGAACCTATGGCTTAGAAGAAAGATAATGTGTTAATGAAGATATTTTTGAACATGCTGCTGAGGTATATTAATAACAGGGCTTGTGTGTCTTGGAGATTTCTCTGAGCTTCTCCATGCTCCTCCTCTGCTTTTGACTTCTGTTGTTTTTTTGTTTTTTTGTTTGTTTTTTGTCCCCAGTTCCAGCTCAGCCAGCAGATTTCCAAGCTGAGGCAGAGTCTGACACACGGATCATGTTAACTTGGCTGCCTGCCTCTCAGGAACGCATCACCAAGTATGAACTGGTGTACTGGGAAGCACCCGATGGGATCCAGGTGAGGGGCTCCATGATCCATTGCTGCTTGCAGGTACCAAGTTATTGCCCATGGATATGAGGCAGCTTTCTTGATGCCATTTCACTGTCAGATGTGGGTCTATTTCCAATAGTCATGCAGCTGTTTGTTGTTCCTACAGAAGTCATTTGAACCCTAACAAAGACATATATAGAAAAGAGTTTCGAGAGCTCTTGAAATCTCATGGATTCCTGAGCATGAGGAATAACTGTTGGTGGAAATCACATCTCTTCATGAATATTCGAATCAGACGTTAGAGGTTATCCATCTAATGGCAGGGCCTTGTATCATTGAAAGTGGAGAGCTGTCATTTGTTGTCTTCCATGTATACCATCTCACTAGAATTTTCATTAACACACCTCATTAGTCAAAGATCTTCACTGGGAAATGACAGCGATTGCTTCAGCAAGACTATAGGGAGAACACACGGTTTCCATTTCTCAGTGAAACAATGTCCCTGGAATAATAGTTTAGGGGTTTTGTGACATAACCAAAGACCAGGCTGTATGTGTTCTGTGCTCTAAATAGATAACAATTCTACACTAAGGTCACCTTAATTCTGTGCCAAGAAACTTAATAAAATTGAAACCTATATAATTCAGAGCAAATATGCATATTTATTTATTCACTTGCTTACTTTGTTTCTTTCCTCTTTTTCTCCCCCAAAGGTACCAAAGGCTATTAGAACCTATTAATTTCATATATTTTTTGTTAGTCATAGGGAGGTACAAGAAATTATACAAGAAGCACCACTGCCCTAACCACTAAGTCCTATTGAACCCCATCTGGTTCACAGATTTCATTGTGCAGTGCTCTCATCTCCTACCTTTAGAAAGAGAGAGAAAGAGAGACGTTCTATGGGTGTCGGATTTTGTGGACAGCATTACATTTCTTGCTCTTCATTGCATGTATAGAAATATGAAATACAGAGAGTATGACCCAACACCACCTCCCCCAGAGTTCCATGTTATCTTTGATCAGGACAGATGTAATAACACAGCATGGATTAAAATACACTGGAATGTTATGCCAAGCAAGAATTGGGATCTTTTCTAAAATTGTGTACCTTTTCCATTGTGGTCATATATTATGAACACATATACACACCAGTGATGATTAATGCAGAAGAAAGAACACATAGTACTATTGTAGTTTAGGAATAGAGCACTTATGAATAATTTGGGGTATCCTTCTTGACCTTTATATATTGCCATATTGAAGAATGTCATGACTGTTTCTTCAGTGGATGGAAATGTTGTTCTTCAAGAGGAATAGCTGAACTAAGTTCCTTTCTGCCTTGATGTAAGGCTAGTGACTTTGCTATAGAGAGCCAGTGCCAGATGGCTTGGTGACAATACATATGTTAATCATTGTATGATCACATGACTAGTCTGAAGACATCTGTGGCCAGAGAACCAAGACTCTTGTGGGAGTGAAATGAAGTAGGGCCCAAAGCCAAGCTCCTTAATCTCCATTCTAGTAAAACTTCCCTTTTATTTTATTTTTTTCTAGCATAAAGTGGAATTTGACCAAGCCTCCTCATATGCAGCTGAAGGGCTCAAACCAGACACACTCTACAGGTTCCAGCTAGGAGCCCGCTCTGAGCTGGGCCTGGGAGTCTATACCCCAGTTTTGGAAGCCCGGACAGCACAGTCAAGTAAGTGTCTCCAGCTGGCTCTGACAGAGTGAATTATGTGCAAAATCTCTTGCACTTTTGTAAAGAGTGTGGGTTGGGAAGGTTGGAATGAAAAGCTGGAGAGATGTGCAGTGACAGGTTGACTGTGGAGCAACAGCCATTTGATCACGGTAAGGTTCATCCTTGGGTGCTTTAGACCATGCTTTCCCATTTCAACAAAGTGGACTCACTCATGTGCTAGGGAAAGGAAAACAAGTGGGAGAAACTCATAAGATTTACTCCCTCTATCACTGTGAATTTAGTAGCTCTTCCTCTCCTTCTGCATTGAGCAGAGGACAGGTTTAGACTGTCTGATACCTGCACCTTGTACATGTCCATCCCTTTATTTGCATGTGCTTCTACCCCACTCAAACTTTTTCCTTCCCTTCCAGCCATATCACTATAATAGCAGAGTTACACATATTGTGTTATTGCTGCACTGCAGGCATTTGTAAGCCTGTTAAGAATTTTTGACAACAGGGGCTCTGATGTTTGCATGTAGGTGGAATAATTAATTTCTTAGGGGACAAATGCAGAGTAAGGTGATACAGTGTGTCACGGGGTACTTGACTTTTGTGAAGTGGAAAAAAGAAGACTGCTGTGTGGCTTCTGCCTCCTGGATTTGAAGGCTCAAGGCAAACAGCACAGTGGGTTGTGTTCAGAGGGCTAGATAAAGAGGTGACCCAAGTGGGATTGCTTTCATTCTCTTCTCAGCTCATGTGCTGGTGGAATAGGAGACCAGTGCACCCTTATTAGCAGCTCAAAGTGCTGCACATAAGCAGATTAAAGCTATCAAAGAGCTCTGAGATAAGCTTGTTTTCACTAACTATTTGGGGGCTTGCTTTTATGCAGAGAGCATTAAAGAGGGGGAAAGAGACATTTCCGTTTATGCCATCTGTCAAGGATTTCATGACTGTGTGGGGCAAACAGTGGTGGAGGCAACAGCCTTCACTGTGTAGAGCCCGCGGGCATCTGGGATGAATTAGGGTGGGGAAGAACAGTGAGGGTTTTGCTCATGATTGGAATGACCTTTCTTCCTTTCATTAGCATATCAATCATGAGGATTCCTACAGCCTTGTTTAACTTCCACTTCAGCTAATGGGATCTTAGTGCCAGCAGGATGGATAGGAGAAAATATATGAAACAGTATTCAAACTGAGGCATTATACATATTTGACTTTAGAGGATACACTCTGATTGTGGAGACCGGTAATTGTTCTGTTAGCCAGTACTGATGGTGCATGTGTACTAACAGGCAGTTAGTGAGCACTTCCCCAGTCATCAGCTAACAAGGCAGAATGCAAGCAGATCTCAGGTGCAAATAGCAGTAGAGAGATCTTCATGCTGTCACTCATATGTGATGGTTCTTCGTAACTGGGACAGGAAACGTAACACCCAGCAATTAAAAAGTGGTAAATCCTGATTTTTTTCCTTGTTTCATCCATCACTGGATCCCAGTCTGCAGTTAAAGCTGGGGTATAATGCCCCATGGCCACATGTAGCACCCTCCTGTCCAGAATTTGTCTGTCCTACCCAGGCTCTCTCCAACAATTTCCTGCCACCATATTATTTTCTTCATTTCCCAACAGCTCCTAATCCTAGGTAGAGGGTTAGGATGTGTGTAGAATCAAACTGCCCCCCCCCCCGTTCTTTGAAATCTTGGAGCAAGAATTAGCATTGAATCCTCCCAATGGCATGAAGATTGGGAAGCCTGCTGCAAAGATCCTGTCAGCAGTAGCTTTCAGGCTTGTCTTTCCTTGACGACAGCTCTGAAAATCATCCGGGTTTTGCAGACTTGCTTTATAATAAGAATCCTGAGATGTTTCAGTTTCTGTTAATCAGTAAGAAAATCTGTGGAGTGTCATGCCACAAGACCATTCTTTTTAATCCCTTTCTGCATCCATTTTTACTTTTTTGCCTTCCTAGATTGGGTGTGGAGACGGTAAAGCCTTTGAGTTTATCATATGCTGATTTTAGCATATGACTGAGCTATTTTTCTCAAGTATTTTAGTGGAATGCTGAGTTGGTATCTCGGGGCAGAAGTGGGGAGAAGTTCTCTCACAAAGTGATTCCATGATACCAGTCCTTCTGTGCAGTGTTTCATAAAAAAGAGGGATGTTATGGTTTTAGTTCCAAATAGAAGCTCCATGCCCTGCCCATCCTAACTCCGGGGTGCGAATCTTCTTTAGGCCAGGGCAAACTCTGGTTTGATAAAAGGAGGATACAGTCAAGGAGTGAGCAGAGCTAAATGTACAGATGTAGCAAAGAAAATAGGTAGAGGCAGATGCAATTTTGCTTTGCAGGTCTTCGTAGGAGTAAGTCCCCACAAACACACAAAACAGCTTTGCTGCCTTCAAAGCAAAGCTTCATTTCCAGTTTTTACAAAAGATAAGTTGGAGAACTTCTGCTGGCATCCCCTATCAATGGTAAGAGATGAAGTTATTTAAACTTTATGTACCTTGCACAGAGCTGATAATAAACTCAGTTCCATGTAGGAGCTTTCTTACCTGCAGAGGACAGCTCAATTGCATACAACAGCTTCCCTGGTTACAAAATAGAGCTCAGTTGTATGCAACAGCTTTCCTCATTGCAGTTCTAGGCCCAGGTTTCTTGCCTGCACAACGCAATTCAGTCCAAAGCAGGGTGTATGTTTAAATAACTTCTGATCTCCTATTACTGATAAGCGAAAACAGTTCCTAATCCTTTTTCAAAATGTGAACAATTAGTCTGAAGGAACATCACTGCATATAATTGAGCAATCACAACAGTGTGCAACTGTTTTGTAACATTTCAGCTGTACACCCCACATCCTCAGGAGGGTGTGCTTTGCAGTGGAGAAGGTTATAGGGGAAGATACTAGTTTATTTTTCTGCTGGCTTCTTTCACTCCATTGTGGTCAAGACCTAGGTTTGCAATGCAAACACATTTCTGGATTCTGAGACTATAAAGGCAGTGGGAGGGAAAATTGCAGGACAGAAACAGCGCATGAAGGCAGGTATCACAATGGAATAATTTTAAAGAACTGGGATAACAGGTCTGACCCATATAAAAAGCCGAAGACATTTCTTTCTTATAAGAATGTCTCTAGAAGCATTTGCCTAGATAGATATGGGTGGTCCCAGTCTTACTTGAGCAGCACACCTATGGTGACCATACCAGACATACTGTGTCCTTTGAAATACAGTATCACCACCATTCCTAGCATTTATTTTTCCTTGCAGTTATCTGCTTTCAAAACTGTCAGAATTAGATTTCTAGAATCTAGGTGTTTATCTTGCAAGGCACCAATCATGTGAACAGTAATTGCAGGCCCAGGGAGTACATCATCTGAGCATCGCTAGTATGTTCATCCTGCCTTGGAGCATATTTTTGTCATTATGACCATATCCAAAATGTATGGATAATACGTGTATATATGCATGTTGGTGTTCATTCTGTCCTATATACTTTTTTCCATTTATTTTGCTTGCATTGCTGAATTTTATTTGTACCTGTTTTGACATAAGTTGCAGCTTGTACATCTTGATGTTAAGATGTGACTTGTACATTGACACTTTGCAAGTGTGAATCTTACCCAGCCATCAGCAGACTTGGGAAATGCCTGTCTCTCACACATTGCTCCAGATGTGAATAATTCTTTTTCTAGTTCTACCTCAAAGAGTAATAAAACATTTTTTTCTCAGAAAGCTCTGTTTAGGGGTAACTTGAAGGAAGGATTGTTTACAGTTAAACTCTCTTCTTATCAAGGCAGTGTACACATTCAGTATCTGCTCCTGACGCTCCGTGTCTTTAATGCACTCTTCTACTTGCTTTGGCTTATTCTTGCAATGCCTTACCTTCTTTTACTTGCTGTCTACATCTCTTATTCTTCTCAGCAGTGTTAACTACAAGTCTTTTTTTATTATTTTAAAACTATTTTATTTATAGTACAAAATTGAGTTTATAGGAGCTGAGCAATGCAGTTGAGGACAGGACATTTTGGGATTCTTCATTCATAGGTTTTCCATAAGTCGGAGGTGACTTGATGGCACATAAAAACAACAACAGAATTAAACACAACAGAGAACATTTCAAGTAAAAAATCTTTCAAATCACCCATGGCTCCTTTGTAAGAGTCCTTCTCATCCTTCAGGCATTTACTGCTTGTGTGCCATTCCTTGCAATTCAAATCCATTCAAAGAGTCTTGATAATGAAACTGACATAACAATTTAACAGTAATAAATTTATATAATCAAGATTAAAAGCCTCTTCATTAAGGGGATTCCCTGGCTCTGATCTCCATGTGCCAAGATTGAGCCATCAGGTCGAGTTTTCCAAATCTTCCTGCTTTATCTGCGTTTCCAGTGTCACGCTGGTTCTGCTTCTTAATATTGAACCTCAGGGCTTCATTTACTGTTCTAGCAATAGCTATTAATTTTGTGGCTAGATCAAAGATTTTATTCTCAAGTTTATGGTTTGGGATTTTTGCCATTATTAGTTCTTTGCATAAATGTTTAAATTGGGCTGTCATTATTTCTTTGATAGCTGGCAGCCCCCTCTTTCCAACAAGTTGGATTGGTTAGGTACCATGTTTAGATGCTCCTACTGACAGCTGTGAGTTTAGAGGAGGTCCCTACAATCCAATGTACCTCTTTGAAGTTAGCTTTCAGGAGTGAGATAATCCTTACTACATTTCCTATTGGGAGATTGCTCTTGACCTCCTCTTATCCTAGTATAAAATAAAAGACTTGCTTGTTTTCTGTTGGGGAGGGATAGTGAGTTTTTTTAATTTGGTGACGATCTTGTTCCACCTTTGCAGGTACTGACCTCATGGCCTTGAGAGCTTCTAGTTCTTCTGTAGCCAAAACAATAGTTTCACAAGTGTGCTGCTGCTGATTGCTGTGTACAACTGACATATTCTCCAGGATGCTCTGCTAGTAGTTTTTACACAGTCAGACCACCCACCTCAGATAGAATGTCACTGAATTATGTGTTGAGGGAAAAAGTGTAGTATTGTTTTTACTTCCTTTTTAGTTTTTATATTTTTCAGTCCTCACATTCTTTCTTGACATTCCTGCCTTCTTATTCTTCTGCATTCTTGTTTTCTGATATCCTTTTGATGGCTCATCTCTGTGTGTCCTCTATGCTGAGCTAAATACTTCTATCATTCAAGACTTTAGGCATGATGCAAAATGCTTCTCACAGACCTAGCTCTCCTGTGTATTTTCCTCAAATGCAAGATGATGATATTTGCTTGATGCAAAGAGAGAATCTGTTGGCTGGGTAAGATCTCTGTATAGGTTGTAGTTTTTGGTTCAACCATTTTCCCTCATCTCCCCACTTCCTTCATTTATTTATCCCTAGCCCCTTCTGCCCCACCCCAAGATGTTGTATGTGTAAGCACCAGCTCCACTGCCATTCGGGTAAGTTGGGTACCACCACCGGCTCAGAGCCGCAATGGAGTCATCACACAGTATTCCATCGCATATCAAGCAGTGGAAGGAGAGGACAGCACCAAGCATGTGGTTGAGGGCATTGGACACGAGCACTCCAGCTGGGAGATCAACGACTTGGAGAAATGGACAGAGTACAAAGTGTGGGTGAGGGCCCACACAGATGTGGGCCCTGGGCCAGAGAGCACCCCTGTCTGGGTTCGCACAGATGAGGACGGTAGGTTCCTGACTAATTACTGAAGGTAACAAACACTCTTTTGGTCCTGCCAATGATATACAACATTTGCAGAGTTGCTAAATTTGTTTCTTCCTGCTCTCAGAACAGCATAATTGGGAATTTCCTCCAAAACATACACACACACATACAGGAACATGCATCCAAAAATTTAAAAGTATGTGAGGCATCTATTTTTTTTTCAGGTGTTAGAACATGGGACCCAAAAAGAACAAAGAGGTTTCTTGCATGTGGAGTCTATAGACAGAGAAACTATAATTTCCACCCCTGGTGGGGAGAATGCCTGACACCACATGAACCTGTCCCTGTTCTGTATCACATGGGTAGAGTAACTGTCAAGGATATTTTGAAGCAAAAATGATATTACATTAGCTAGGCTGTCAAATTATGTCATACCAATCTAAGTTTCTTCCTTAGAAAGTGTCAGTCCTGATGGTCACAGAAGGCACTTCCCAGGCCTCCATCCTGGCCTCAGAGGCCAAAGAGGAGATTGACAGGCAAATGGAGAAAAGGAACTTATCCCAAGTTGACAGGAGGCATCCTTCCGTTCTACCTCCTATGCTGTATTGTCCTTTGCACCACTGCAATCCTAGGAAGTGTTGCATAGCAATGTTCAATAACTACTTCTTGGGGTCACTGGCACATCTGTGTGTCCTGCTGCCTGAATTGTTTGCATCAGTTCTCATTTAGCAAAGCCTTAGCCAAAGGGAATCTGCTACCCTAGAAATGTCGCAGCAAGCTCTCTGCATTAATTTGAGGGCTGCATAGTTTGCTGCCCAGCTAAGCTCTCTGTCAGGAGTAGCTTTGGAACCTTCTGATGCGCTGGTTTTTCATCACTACAAGCACAGGAAGGAGCTGAAATGCTCTTTGAAATATTATTGGTGGCTAATGTATCTTACTTATATTTAAAGTGACCGCCACTGACCCAGCAAAGCTCAATCCATAGACAGCTGCTGTTAGCATACATCCCTGCCCTTTAATGACAGCCATAGGTAAATCTTGTGATAGCTTTGCCTTGATGTAACTGTCATAGGCACTGTTCCAGTCACATCTGTTGCAGGGGTTATATTAACCAGTTAAACATACTGCTGTCAGCTTTCCACTCACTTTTTAGAAAGGTTGAATCACTATCCAGGAAAGATGATTCATCTCCATGTTCATGCAGGAAATTAGATTGAGGTTGGTGAACATCCCTCATCCTCGATATTCCCTGTCATTTTCCTCTACTAGTATGTATACCTTTCCCTTGTACACTCTTCTTTAAGTAATTATTTACAATTAAGAGTGAGATCTGTGAAAAATAACCAGTTGCCTGCAATTTAGCAATTGTCCATCTGCCATGCCTTTATAGAAAAAAAATCATAGGTTCCACCCACTTCTGTGTCCCTAGTTAACCTTGTGTTGCTCTAGCAAGTGGGGCACAGTGTAATTCTTAATGCCATGGATTTGTCATATATCAGGACTCTGTTCTAGACTTCCAATGTAATGCTGAATAGTAATATGGCAAGGCTATTCTCTGGAGGCAACATGCTCTATTATCTTAATATGAAGGTGCTTTGGGGGAGACTGGGGTCCCCCCCATTAATATCTTATGTAGTCAGTATAAGAGTCAGGACCAATATGGATATAGTTTTTTCCCCAGATATTAAATAAAGTTTACACTGACTTATGGACATACCTCTCTTTCTAAGGTGATTGAAATTTTTCAGGCAACTACTGTTTTTCATTTTATTATCAACAACCATTCTGCAAGCTAAATGCACAACCACAAACTTCACCATCTTCAAAGCTGCCTTCCACCTTGCAGATCTCTTGCTTTAAGCAATGGAATAGCCAATCTTAGAGATGGGGTGTAAATCCCATTTCTTTCACTTCAGTGGCTAAGAACAAGAAACTGCATTTTCTCCCCTTTTGGCTTCCAGATTGCAAGATGTTTGCTGCCCTATCAAACAAAGTGCTCACATTTAATTGAAATTGCTGTCCGGTTACTGAGTCTGGTTTCTTGTACTGCCTAGGTCAGACTGTGTCTGTCTGATGTTTCTTTTTTTTTTTCATGGCTGTCATTGTCAAGGGGGGAAAGATAGCAGGAAATCAGGGTGTGTAGTCTGCCCCTACTTCTCTTGCATTCTCTTTCACTCCCACCAGCAGTATCTCACTGCATGGCAAAAGTGGCAACTGTTTGCCTCAGACTGTTTTCCCTCCTCAGTAGTCATATACTGTCTACCTGTTATGGGATATATGGTATAGTGTAGAGTATATCCACTACAAGATCCTCATGGCGCAGTGATTAAACTGCTGTATGTTAGCCAAAACTGTGCTCATGACCCCAGAGTTCAGTTCTGGGTAGCCGATTCAAGGTTGACTCAGCCTCCCATCATTCCAAGGTCAGTAAAATGAATAACCTGCTTGCTGGGAGGGGGCAATATGTAGCTTGCATAATTAACTTGTAAATCAACTTGTAAATTGCCCAGAGAATGCTTTAAGCTCTATGGGACGGTATATAAGCAATACTTATATTACTAGAGTAATGGACTAGGATTCAGGAGCCAGGGCTCAAATTCCTGCTCAACCATGGAAATTCACTTGGGGGGGTGTTGAATTGGTAAGCCCTCTCCTTAAATCTTACTTACCTTGAAAGCCCTTTTAGGGTCACTATAGGTCAGTTCCAACTTGAAGGCATGTAACAGCAATAACTGTCTGTTATGCTACTGCTTTCTGTCTTCTGAAAGAAGAAGGTGAGGGAGGAAGAGAAACCACACTCCTGGTATCCTGCTGTCATTTCCCACTTTCACCTGCTTTGTGCTTCACAAAGGAAAAAGAGAGTTTCCACAGAGTTAGTTTCTACAGATTGTGAAAGCATCACTGAGAAAGAAATCTGTTTGTCTCATACTCATGCTCATAGAGGGAAAGCTAACAGGTATCAGTGGTTTTTCAACAGGCTTTCTTGATGATTGAAACAGTCTGTCTCGTTAAGAAAGAGTAATTTTGCAAGCATTCTTCACGTCTTTGCCTTGAGCAATCAGGTTATACATTCCTCTTCTCTCTTAGTCAATGTACTGATGTAATATACCCATTTCTTTTGGTGTATGTATAGTAAAAGTGGGGGTACCTAGCAATCTGGGCAGAACTTACTTTGCATCTTGTTGTGTTGACAGTGAACAGCCTAGGTTAGCAATTAACTAATTAATACGTGTCATTCACTCCTATTAATCCTGTTAATCTTTGCATTCATTGTTTGCTATATTCGGTGATGTGTGCAGAGAAGCATATGTGAGAGACCAGAAACAGGTGTTAGAGATAAAGCATAATTAAGAATAATAGTCACATGCTGTCAGGTCAATTCTGACTTATTGCAACCCTATGAATGAGCCATCTCCAAAATGTCTTGCCCTCAACAGGTCCTGCTCAGCATTTGTAAATTCAAGGGTGTGGCTTCCTTTAGAGAATCAATCCATATATTTTCCTGCTGCCTTCCACCTTTCCCAGCATTATTGTGTTTTCTGGAGAATCTTTCCTTTTCATGATGTGCCCAAAGTATGACAGCTTCATTTTAATCATTTTTGCCTACCGAGGATCCTAGAAGATGTTCTCTAGGACCCACTTCTTCATCTTTCTTTCAGTCCAGGGTACCTGCAAAGCTAACTTCCAGCACCATATTTTAAATGAAACCTTTTTTTCCCCTGTCAGTCTTTTTTATTGTCCAGCTTTCACACCCATACTTAGTGATTGGGAATACAATAGTGTGAATTATCTTGGTTTTGGTATCCAGTGATACATCCTTACACTTGATATGTAATAATCTTAGAACTGCAGAGCTGAAAAGGACCTTATGGATCAGCAAGTCCAGCCCCGATGATCTTTTCTAATTCCTTCATTACCACACTTCCAAGTTAGTATTCCAGATGCGGTTTATCATTCATTTTTCTGGGGGTGCCCTGGAACTGTGCAACTAGCCTAAGGCCACACAGACTGACTCTTGTACAAGGCAGTCTAGGGAATCAAATTCATGACCCCAGGCTCTGGTATTCCATCTTACTGAGCTATGCAATCAACCAACTTGTGATTAAAAGAGGAAAATTCTTGACTAATGAAACGAAAAGTATTAACTTCTCTTACTTCCAGGAATATGTAAATTACCGTATTTTTCACACCATACGATGCACTTTTTCCCCACAAAACAGGGGGGTGGAAAGTCTGTGCGTCTTATGGAGCGAAGAAAACAGATTATATTTTCCTGTTTTCTTCTCCTAAAAAATTGGTGCGTCTTATGGAAAGGTGCGTCTTATGGAGCAAAAAATACAGTAGCTTGTTTTGTTTGGTAAGTGGTCTTTAGGACCTGAGCACAGGGTTCTTTTGAAGCCCAGTTTCACAAACCTGCCTCAGTCACCTCTCTGCAATATTAATGTGCTTTCAGCTCTAATTACAGGCTATCTCAAACATCTGTTTCTGGCTTGAGAGAGAGGGCACACAATCTATCTTTTCTGAGAAAATGGATTGTAGGATAAGGAATGAGGAAGGAAATGAGTTCAAGGCACAAAGAACTGTTTTTGCAATATGACTGTTGTCTCTGACTAAATTTTGCATTTGTGTTACAGTGCCTGGTGCTCCACCACGAAAAGTGGAGGTGGAATCAGTGAACTCAACAGCCATTCGTGTTTCCTGGAAATCTCCAATTTCCAACAAACAGCATGGCCAAATTCGAGGCTACCAAGTTACGTATGTGAAGATGGAAAACAATGAACCAGTTGGACCACATGTCATCAAAGATGTTGTGGTGGCAGAACCCCAGGTATAGCACAATGTGGGTACATCTGTGCATGCAGTAGGCTCTGTATGTTCAGCACTTTGGCACTTCATAGGAATTGTTAGAAATCCACATTACAAATGGGCAGTTGGTGACCTTCCAGAGCTTGTTGGATTCCTCTTCTCACCAGCCTCCACCCATGTGACCAGTGATGAGACCTAATAGGAACTGTAGGTGAACTACATCTGGAGGACAACAGCTTAGCCGTCCCTGGTATAAAAAAACACATTTCTTAGGGTTTATCAGGAAATGCAAAGTATGTAGCACAGAACACTTTGTAACTACTGTAGAGACTGTCAGTGAATATTCAAATATTGAAAGCAGAATTTTGAGAGAATAGTGTTTGCACTAGTGGTTCTGCTTGGCAAAGGGCATCCTTCACACAATTGGTTATGGGGCAGATTTTGTGACCAGTATACATCCACTCATGCGGAACTGGGGAAATTATTTGATTACCTTGTTGTAGTTTCTCCCAACATCATTTTGACCCAAGTAATGCATTAAAAGGCGAGATTAACCTAATGGAGGAAACTGGTAGAATTTGTTTTAGAGAAGATACAGCTAATCATGCCTTCTGTGTCATCCATTATGTAAAAGGTTTTTAGTAACAAAATTGTGTATTAACAACACACACACACACACACACACACACACACACACACACACACACACACACACACACACCAGAAATCCACCAGATTAATTATTAGCATTTCCTTCCAACCTTTAAAATTAAGCTGTTTTTAAGGCATTAATAATATGCCCCAGAAGTATGTTGGAAACTAGCTGAACACACTGTTCATCAGTTCTCCCTTTCACAACAGGTGTTGACAAGGCTGTGGCTTTTTGCCGTAGAGTAGTAAATGATATGCCAAATGAGAGGACTCAAAATGTACATTTTACTATGAAAGAAAATTATTTGGTAAAAACACAATATGATAGAAACATAGGCTGAATCGGGATTGTGTAAGTCACATAGCAAACCTTATAAGGTGGTGTGTAAAAAATTGTTTCCAGCCTGTGGCCCCCTTCAAATGTGGGCACATGCCCCCCATTGATAGTGGCTGTTTTACATTATATCCTGTTGCACCATAACACTGTGAATAAAGCAAGTCCCATCTGATTTTGGAAGCTAAGCTAGGTCAGGTCTCATTCGTATTTGGAAGAGAGATCACCAGGGATGGCTGGATATGGCTAGGAAGGAATTCTGTCTGAAACTCTGGAGAGCTATTTCGAGTCAGAGTTTACAGTACTGAGCTAGACAGGCCAATAGACTGACTTGATGTAAGTTAGCTTCCTGAGTTCCCATCCAGCATGTCAGAATGAAGCAAATATTCCATAGTATCTCTCATACTAAATCATTTTCCAAGATAATCAGGAATTTCTCAGTGCCAGGGCTGTCACTAAAGTGAAGAAGAAAACAGCTGGCCAGGAGATTACTTTTAACCTGTCAGCTGAGTTTTTTACATTTGCTAAGAGAATCCTTTTTGGGGAAGAGCCTTAGGAGCTGCATAAGATGTGCAGTTCCTTGAGCATCTGCAGTTGCAAGATAGTGGTGATTAGTTTGTAAGGTAGGCTCTTCAAATGGCATCCAGAAGGGTTACTGGAGAACTGCATTGACTAATTGACCTATCTCTTAAATACTGCACATGAATGTTTTATATCTTTCTCAGCAGGGAGAAAAATATTTTGGGGGGAAAAATACGCACCTCTTACTTTGGAAGATAAAACTAAAAAACACAAGCAATGAATTGAGACAAAACTCAGGAGTGTCCTGACTGCCTGGTCTGTGTAACTGTAACTGAAGTGAACCTCTAACATTTTACACTTAAGAAGCTGTTCAGTGCCTTCTCCTGTTTCCTTGAGAAACTTGTCCTTTAGTTTTCAATTATTGAAGAAAGTCATAGCCAGTTTATTGCTATCTTGGTCTTTGAGGTTAATGACTTGGTCCTAAATTAGCTTTGCTCTCAATCCTCCCTTGAATTTTCATTGAAGTTGAACTTTATAATAGATTGACGTTGCTTCTTAAACTAGCAGATCTTGTACAAAAGAAAAGAGGAATCTGTATGAAGACCATATTTTGTCATTTTTCTTTTAGAAGATGAAGCTTTCCACTGGACATTCTTGTGTCATCTTGATTTTCCTCCTTTGGTTTTTCTGTTTTGGTATTTTTCCATATGGTGAAGATCAGAGGTTTGCTAAAAATCCTCCAGTGCTGCAGTAGTTTATGACTAATGCTGTGCAGAGTTATCTACCTACCTTGCTTCATAAGCAGATGAAAAAATTTATGCTGATATTTTATAGAAAGCACTTCTATCCTTACTCTTCACAGAAACTTCCTGGGATATTTCCAGTACTCTGGAGCACTCACTTCTTTCTGGCATGCTGTTAAGTTGATAAAAGGTTTCTTCTTGTTGTCTGTTCCTTGCAGAGATTTTGCAACACAGTTTTAAGAACTAAACATAAGCATCTAACAAGAGGGTGATTCCAAGGAAGTGAATGAGTCTGCTCAGTGTTTGTGGAGTAACTCTAGATCTCAGTAAGGGAATCATTTGGGCTGGATGGAGATTGTAGACAACTCCTGCTTCTTAGTTAGCATTTTAGATCATGCTGTTTATCAGTTGTGTCCTTGGCTGATAACTAGACAGGTGGAAAGGCTGCAAGCACTATAACGTGAAATGCCTGAAGGACAAATTAGAGCAGCATGCATTATTTTTGATCCAGCCATCCCAGAAGGTATATCAGGAAAATCATGGAGTCAGAAGGGGATTCTGATTCTGCTGTCTTTTAGAATGCTGGACTGATCTATGAAGTCTGAATGGGGAGGCCAATCAACTTTCATCCTGCAGAAAGGGAGGAAGAAAATGTTCACATCTCTGACATTTTTCTGCCTGAATAAAAACCTCTGTAGAGGTTGAACAAATGTGAAAAATAAGGGAATTGTTACTGTATGCAGACATCTCTCTCTCTCTCTCTCTCTCTCTCTCACACACACACACACACACACACACACACACACACACACACACACACACACACACACACACACACACACACACCCCTCCNNCACACACACACACACACACACACACACACACACACACACACGGCTCCTTGTTCCTAGTGCTATATAATTCTGATTAGCTGTTTTCTAAATGTCTACTGTAAGCTTTGTCTGCAAGCTGCCAGGAGATTTCCAGATAGGAACTTAGCAGTAAGAACTGGGTAACCTTGTCTCTGTGCCACAGTAGTAACCTGAGGAACAGTGAGCTACTGATTTGTTTTTTGCTGTTTTGCAGTGCCACCACTACAGGTAGATAGAAGATGGCATTGCAGCTATTGCCTCAGTAGAGATTATATAATACAAAAATAGAAATGATGTTCCACATAGCCCTGCGAAGTTGTTGACTTTGGCTTGACTGTTTGGTTTGAGTATTCACTAGTCAAGTACAGACCTAGTCAGATTTGACCATTCCTACTTCTCTCCAGACATTGATTCTTTCTGATTTACTTCATAATGTCATGTTTCAGGTGTTTCTTATTTAAACATGCAGTATCTGATTCTGTCTTGTTTTGCATTGGCATACGCCAGTCTCACTTTAATTCATCTTGGATTGAATCCAGTTGTTCACGTGTTATGCTCTCTCACGGATTGTCAGAAAAGATATGTAAGAGAACGTTTTCTTACTATCCTCAAGTTCTACCTTGCAGCCATAGGCTTTTGTCTATATTGAAATGGCCAGGTACATATATTAGTTTATCCTTGAGTAAGAGGGTCATATGTCTTGTGCTAAATTCAAATTACAGTATTTCTGAATTCAGATTGATAGAAGCAACTTTCTAATTGCATGATGATGTTTTACCAGGGCCACACCTTAGTGAGTTTCCATAGCCAAGCAGGAATTTGAACCCAGGTCTCCTGAGTCCTAGTCCATCAAATTAGTCCCAATTAAACCAGTCTAATTAATCCTGTCAGTAGCAAATTTTATGTGAATCAGGATAGCTTCCCCAACTAATCTTGTGTAGTTGCTGCAATGTAAGTAAACTTTAATTATAACAGACAATAGACAGAAACCTCTAGCATCCTGAGAGCTTTTTAACATGCAAAAACCAAACATCTGTCTTTCATTCAGACTCAGAATAGCCAGCTCAGATAATAACTGGCTTTATGTATCAAATATAATCATGGTAAATAGGAGACACAAAATAAAGGACAATGCACAACTAGTCTTTAATGGAATGTCCTTGTTCATGATCACATGATCTTAAATGTGACAGCTTGCTGAATACTTATTTATTAGCTGGTTTGTTCTTTTAATTTATATTTATTTATTTTATTTGTTACATTTATAGCCCGCCCATCTAGTCGTACCAACTACTCTGGGCGGGTAACAACATATCAAAATTTAAGTACAATTTAAAATCATAACAACATATTACTAAAAAACACAATGATCCAGATGGGAGAAGGCACAGAGAACAAAATCAGGAGGAGGATGGAGGAAAGGCTTGCTTAAACAGCCAGGTTTTCAGTTGGCATTTGAAGATGCCCAGGGAAGGGGCCATACAAATCTCAGGAGGGAGGCTATTCCAAAGATGAGGAGCCACCGCCGAGAAGGCCCGGTTTCTTGTTTTTTCCTTCCGGGCCTCCCTTGGTGTTAGGCTCCTCAGTCTCACCTCCTGGCTAGATCGAGTGATAACACAGTCATGCAAAGAAAGCGCGAAACTTGGAAGCCTAAGGGACGCAAGCTCTGTTTGCTTGAAAAGGGAATTTCTACATCAGCTAGCTATGATGTATTTAGAGAAGCATGGAAGTATATGGGAAGCATATGTAAAAGGATCAGAAGATAGAAAAAGCGGGTTTATCTTCCATTGCTTAAAACTGGAATTTCTAAGACGTATGTCTTCCTGGCCACTGTACTTCTATGTCTCACCCTCCATACAAAACACAATCCTCTATATTCCAAATGCTGCAGTCATATAAA